CTTAAAATAAAATCAGACGATTTTATAATTCATCAGATGAGAATACTGAATAATGTCCCGTCGTGTGTCGCTTGTCATAAGAAAAACAAAGAATGGGAGGAGCTCAGACCAGTGCTCTAACTTCCATTTCAGAAGTTGTTATTTCACTGTCTTGCTCCGCCTTCTTGGCCAAGTAAACTATGAAATAAATGACCATTAAATGTCCTAACAAATTTTAAAAAAATGCATATACAACAATAATATATAAAAAAGGGGGGCTTACCCTAACACTAGCCAAACTTGTAAACCTAATCCTAAATTAAAAATGGTTTCCTATACTTGAAACAAATGAATGCCCGAGGAGAGCTGCAAAAAGGAATAACGTGGTCTATAAACAAAGAGGCGATATTGATAAATTGATGGCTACTTGTTTTTATCGTGTCAAAATAAATATTCAAAAAAAAATTGTCGCTGGATTTATTGTCGTTTCTTTTCCTCCACTTTTAAAAGATATATCTCCGTGAATTGAGCATGCTTAAAATATTTATGTCTTGACCTTACGCAATCAACAGCCCATCTATTAATAGATCATTGTCATGGTGTTGGGAAAGACGGAATACCTTCACAATAAGCTCAAAAAACGTTTCCTTCTTTTACCTCTTCTAAAACTAAACATCCTATTTGTTTTGAAAGCAGGCAGCATGGTATACATCTATCCCCTTAAGAATTTTAGCCCCTGGGAAGGGGAGGTTTGGGGGGGGGGGGGGGGTCACTCCAATGACACATAAATCGCTCTCTGGTCTTTAAGCCTTGGTGAAAGTATCACGGTAACAATTCATTTACATGTACATCTATCATTACGGGTAAATCAAATCCTACTAAAAAATTCGATTCACGTGTTCATTTTCTGAAAATAAGAGACGTTTTGTCATAGAAAGCGTCACTATTTTGATTGATATATTTAATTCATGAAAAGTACACTTTAAGTTTTACCTTTGCCATGGGTCATCGCCCATTAATGTTACAAATCATATATAGCCACGCATTACTCATTTACATATTTAATCCTCAAAGCTACGCTTTTCGTGAATTAAATATTACGTTAATTCGTAAAAGGCGTGCTACATGTATATATATAACTTAAGTAATTATAAAACATATTCATCTGGTCATTAACTGCATTAAAAGGGACAAAACACACTTACAATAAACAAAATAATGAAAATACAATGACATGTATTGTAATAATAGAAACAAATCTTTATTTTCAAATTTTGTACAAGTTAAAACCATTTTTAAGCAATATTTTTGTACATGTTATAACATGTACGAGGTACTTTTGTACATGTTATAACTTGTATATTTGCATTGTGCAAGTTATAACATTACAATATTTCAGTACATGTTATAACATGTACAAAATTCAACTTGTACACGACATACATATCTCGGTTTCCTATTGGTCAAATCTTATTGCTCAAGTTAAATGATTTTTGGAGTTATCTCAATTTTATATGTAAAGTCCAGAGAGAGTCTGAATGATATTGATGGAATGGGAAAATTTGAGTCTAAAATAGAAACTCGTAACTCATTAGACATACCTGAAATAACACTTTTTTTTTGTTCACGGAATCTTTTACAAGTTTACTAGCTGTATGATAAGTTCTATTCAGAAAAAAAACTAACAGGTTTTTGGGAAATACGTTTTATTATTAATCATTCACTGCGAGATTAATATTTCCAAAGGGCTGTGAGAAGACTCAATAATAATGGTTGACATACTTGGAAGGCCTATTACGAACGATTCCGATAATAGAAATAGGCGTGTTATACACCATTTTATAGATAATTCAAATGAATGTAGATTTACGGGATGGGATAGACAACCACAAAATCGAAATATAACGGACGGTTCGCGACCGGGTGTTGCACATCTTTTAGCACATTTATCATATGTGTAAGCGAGTATTCCCTCTAGTTCATGTTTGTGTTCTCAAAATGTCGCTTTAACGTGTTCGAATTTGTATAGTTTATTTACATAATGCACAGTTATACCCCAATGGGGTTGATGGTATACATGAAAATTAACAAAATAACACATTACAGTCATAATACATCACAAAAATAATAAAATACAAGACACGAACTTATATATGTACATATCATGCAGTTGTTGAATCCACCAGGGACATTCTTTACTGGGACAGTCTATATTATAAATCCACTGTCCTCAGTGACCATGACTTTTTAATTAATGGAGCAGCATACTGCAAAACTGACGGACATGAAAGACATAAAACAAATTTATCCAAGTTATCCATATCATTGTATGTACATTTAAATAAGAAATGATCTTCATCATCTGTTTTATCTAAACTGACGGACATGAAAGACATAAAACCAATTTATCCAAATTATCCATATCATTTTATGTACATTTAAATAAGAAATGATCTTCATCATCTGTTTATTTATCTAAACTGACGGACATGAAAGACATAAAACCAATTTATCGAAGTTATCCATAGCATCTATATAATTTGCATAGATTTTTTTTTAAGCATTCAAGTCTCAAGTTTTCATGATGATGATCTTATGTACATTTAAATAAGAAATAATCTTCATCATCTGTTTTATTTAAAGAACACCGTTGACATAAATAATCTTCTCTTTTTATTGATTGATTGATTGATTGGTGTTTAACGCCACTTTCAACATTATTGTGCAATTTCGTGGCGGTCAGTTTTTATTGGTGGAGGAAGCCGGAGTGCCTGGAGAGAACCACTGACCTTCGGTAGGAAAACCGTGACATTCCTAGTCATTCTCAATTAAGATTGGAGTCGAGTGCACCTGTCCCGTGCGGGATTCCAACTCACACTCTCAGTGTTGACTGTCTAGTGATACAGTAGTTGGACAACTTAGACCATTCGGCAACTCTGAAGCCCCTCCTTCTATTCTGATGTTTCTATACCTCCCCCCTTTTAATTTTCAAAATATGGTCACTTATATACCCTTAATTTACATTTTTTGTAGTAAAAATGAGAATGGAATTAGGGAATGTGTCAGAGACAACAACCAAACTAAAGAGTAATAAAATGCTCCGCTGGGCGCAGCTTGATACGACCGCTGAGGTCGAACCCTGAACAGTTGGGGCAAGTATGGACACAACATTCAAGCTTGATACAGCTCTGAATTTTGATTGTGATTAAATATTTGACACAGCATAGGTTTCTGACACAGAATGAATGTGGTCTAAGAATTAATTTTTTTTAATATACCTATTCAAACCATATCATTATTATTTGCTTTTATATATAAATCAGAAATAACCAACTTAAAATGGAAAATAAATCCCTCCCCCTAATTTTTGAACCCCCTTATGAATCATCACCCCAAACTCAATCCCAGCCTTCCCTTTGTGGTATGGTACCTTACAGTACAATTTCAGAGAGATCCATACACTTGAACACAAGTTATTGTCTGGAAACTAGAAAAATGCTTGTTTTTTGGCCCCAAATTCCTAAACGTTTCGGGCAATTACCCCCAGACTCAAACCCAGCTTTCCCTTTGTGATATGGAACCTTGTAGTACAATTTCATAAAGATCCATACTCTTACACACAAGTTATTGTCCAGAAACTAGAAAAATGCTTGTTTTTTGCCCCTTTTTGGTCCATAATTCCTATAGTTTTGAGGCAATTACCCCCAAAATCAATCCCAGCCTTCCCTTTGTGGTATGGTACCTTGCAGTACAATTTCAGAGAGATCCATACACTTGAACACAAGTTATTGTCTGGAAACTAGAAAAATGCTTGTTTTTTGGCCCCAAATTCCTAAACGTTTCGGGCAATTACCCCCAGACTCAAACCCAGCTTTCCCTTTGTGATATGGAACCTTGTAGTACAATTTCATAAAGATCCATACACTTACACACAAGTTATTGTCCGGAAACTAGAAAAATGCTTGTTTTTTGCCCCTTTTTGGTCCATAATTCCTAAAGTTTTGAGGCAATTACCCCCAAAATCAATCCCAGCCTTCCCTTTGTGGTATGGTACCTTGCAGTACAATTTCAGAGAGATCCATACAGTCACTTGAACACAAGTTATTGTCTGGAAACTAGAAAAATGCTTATTTTTGGCCCCTTATTCCTAAACGTTTTGGGCAATTACCCCCAAACTCAATTCCAGCTTTCCCTTTGTGATATGGAACCTTGTAGTACAATTTCAGAAAGATCCATACACTTACACACAAGTTATTGTCATGAAACTAGAAAAATGCTTGTTTATTGCCCCCTAATTCCTAAAATGGAAGTTACAAAAATGCTTATTTTTGGCCCCTAATTCCTTAACTGTTGGTACCATAACCCCCAAAATCAATCCCAACCTTCCTTTTGTGGTATTGAACCTTATGGTAAAATTTCATAGAGATCCATTCACTTAAACTAAAGTTATTGTGCGAACCAATGTGTTTTTGTACGACAACGACGCCAACGTCATACCAATATATGACCGCGGTCGTATAAAAAACAGCTGAAGGCCACCAATGGGTCTTCAACATAGCGACGAAATCCTGCACCGAAAAGGGAGGCTTCAACAGGCCCCTAAACGAAAATATGTTCTATTTCAGTGATAATGGAGGCCATACTAAACTTCAAAAACATATAAATGAACTAAAATTCAAAATCATACAAGACAAGACTAACAAAGGCCAGAGGCTCATGAAAATGCGGCTGGGTTAAACATGTTTTGTGGGATATCAACCCTTATGGTAAAATTTCATAGAGATCCATTCACTTAAACTAAAATTATTGTGCGAACCAATGTGTTTTTGTACGACAACGACGCCAGCCAATGAAGTAAAAACAAACACACAGCAATAAGTGAAAGTACCCTAACCCTTTCCAGGTTTGATAGTCTATCTTTGATCATTCTATATTATTTTCATGAATTATATTTTTCACAGAGGTATACCAGTCATACCAAGTTCATCCAATAGTTTGGTTGTGCAGTAAATAAGTAAGTATTACATTGTAAGTAATTTTTATTGACACTAGACTTTCATCACATGACAATTACAAATGAACTTATACATATATCGGTTTACAAATAGAACGAAATTATGTAAACAACAATACAGTGAACAATTATCATCACTAATGCCATGGCTGAGTTAACATGGTTAAGTCCCATATGTTATCATACATGTATATATATCTTAGTTATTACAAAAAATTTACAGGTTATCTCCCTTACTACACAACAATGAAACTACTTTATTGTGACCTTGGTTACAATGAATTACATTGATTTCCCAGCCTTTTATAATATTCCAAAATTCTGTACTTTCTTCTGGAGAAAGTTTTTAAGTTTTTTTAATATATTTTGTTTATATTGTTTCCTCTTAAACTTGTTGGCCTTTTTCAAATAGTAAAAAAAAAAAATTCAATGTTTGGTCAAAGGGAGATAACTTAAGTCTGGAAAGTTTTATCAAGATATTCATTGTCTATCCATGGTGTTTTTTCTTTGGCTTTTTATCATACATTTATCTGATAGATGTACTAATTCCCGACTCAAGGTTCTAAAATAAATTGTTGTAGTGAAGTTTCTATTAATACATATCTTTAAAGTCTGTTTTCCCAATTTCTTTTTCTTTTTTTAACTAATTGTCAAAGTTGTCATATAAAAACATTGTACAAGAGTTACTAATTTATAGATTTATAAAGTTTATCACATTCATGACAAGTTTGGTTTCTTCTGTTGCTCTGTAGGTCACGACTCAATTTAATATCTTTATTTTATACATTGTACATCACATAAAAATCACCAGCATGTATTCTCATGTGACTCTGAAGATCGTGACTCAGAAGAGCGTGATTCTGACCAAACCTTTTTGAATATACATCACATTGAAAAGGTTAATCACCAGTATGTGTTCTCGAGTCGTGTGTTGCTTAAGAGCCTGATTCTTACCAAACCTTTTAGAACATACATAACATCGAAAAGGTTAGTCTTTACTATGTGTTCTCATGTGTACCTTAAGAGTCTGATTCTGACAAAACCTTTTAGAACATACATCACATTGAAAATGTTTATCACCAGAATGTATTCTCATGTGTGTCTTAAGATTATGTTTCACAGAAAACCTTTTAGAACATACATCACATTGAAAAGGTTTATCACCAGTATGTGTTCTCATGTGTACCGTAAAAGCATGATTCTGACGAAACACTTTATCACATACATCACATTTATAAGATCTACCATGTACATTATATTTGTAAAGTTTAATTCCACTATGTGTTCTCATGTGTGCCACTAGATTTTGATTACTATTACACTCCATACCACAGACAGAACAAATAGTATCAATATTTTCTCCAGATTGGCAATTCATCTGTATTTGTGACGTGTGACCACTAGCCTCATCAAGGGTGATAATTGTGTAAAATTTATTTTCATTATCAGAAATTTCATCTGTTTCTGTCCTTTCTTGTTTGTATGGTAATATCTTATCTACAATTTCATCAGTTGAGATGCTCTTGGATCCAGTTTCATCTTCATTATCAGATATTTTATCCATTTCGGTACTTGCTTGTCCAGTACTGAATAAAAATCTTGATGGTTGGTATTGAGTCTGATCCTGATAAGCAATTCTATAAAAATATGCTGAAATACAAAAATACTATGTTAAGAAAGATAGCCAACCTGAAGAATCAACAAGATGGTCTAAAATTTAAAAACAGTGCTCAAAATCTTAAGTCACAAGTCCAACCATTTCTTTAAACTTTTCATATGCACAGAATTGGAGTATTTTTATGTAAATGCTCTTTTGTTCTGATATTGGAAAATTCCGGGCGGAAAGAACTAACTAGCCGAAAAGTTCCGGAGGAACTTATTAAATAGTTACTTTGTTCTTCCTCTGGTTTAAAAGTTCCACCGGAACAAAGTGACTAATTGAAAAGTTCCAACGGAACATATCAACTAGTTAGAAAGTTCCTTTTTGCCAAATTAGTCAAAACCGGAACTAACAAACTAGCCCAAAAGTTCCAACGGAACTTATCAACCAGGCAGAAAGTTCCATTTGGAGAATTGATGCAAAGTAAAAGCGCAACATATTATATTTGAACCTTTCAAAGGGAAACCAAGATACTGATTACAAAAGTCAAAAGGAACTTATCAACTAGCCACAAAGTTCCTCTTTGGCAAATAAGTCAAAACCGGAACTAACAAACTAGCCCAAAAGTTCCAACGGAACTTATCAACCAGTCACAAAGTTCCATTTGGAGAATTGATGCAAAGAACCACATGAAGAGGGGGGTATTCTTCCCTCTCTTGAGGGTACTATGAATACTAAATTTGTATGATAATGCAACTTATTCTGTTTTATGTGAGCTATGAAATACAACTTAAATTTTGCATATTTGTCCCCAAAGAAACCCCTTTCAGTGCGTTGGGTATTCTTGTAAATTAATGATTTGCTCTTATATATACTGATACTCATTCTTCCCCCTCTTTCTACAAAAAGGACGAACTATGGTATATTCGGAACGATGTAACTAGTTGTTCTGTTCTGCCAGAACTATTCAACTAGCTACATTGTTCAGGGACTCTTCAACTAGCTACTTTTTCCCGCAACTTTTCGACTGCACTCGGAATAAAACAACTAGTTGGAAAGTTCCATTGGAACAAAATAACTAGTTGAAAAGTTTCGCCGGAACAAAGTAACTGACGGAACATAGTCAGTGGCGGATCCAGAACTTTTCATAAGGGGGCCCGCTGACTGACCTAAGGAGGGGGCCCACTCCAGTCATGCTTCAGTGATTCCCTATACATGTATATCAACCAAATTTTTCCCACAAAAGGGGGGCCCAGGCCCCCCAGGGGCCCCCTGGATCTGCCTATGATAGTGGCTGTTACATTTACATGTGCAACAGTGTAACTAAACTCATCATAGATAACAAGATTAAAATTTTACAAGCCAGATTTTCGTCTACAAAAGACTCAACAGTGAAGCCTGAACCAAAAATGATAAAAAGGCAAATTTAAGTACAAAGTTGAAAAGCAATAGGCCAGTTCCGGGAGACGGTAGTTAATTGATTTTGTCATGTGACTTCCATTATCACGTGACTAAAATATAAGCATCTTTGTAAGAAATAAATTTGTCCTGGTAAAATATGTCCGGGCGGGCATATATTACTAGTATAAAAAGTCCATGGTTACAAAATTTACTAGTAATTTTAGTCCGATGTTAGTAATTTATGTCCCCAGACAAATTTTCCTAGGAATTCAAGTCCATGTCATTAATATTCCTAGGTAAAACCGTCCATGTCCTTTTTTTTATAGGAAAAAATATTAATGAATCAATTCATTTACATTTAAACAATGGAAATTTAAATGTTGTGTTTAATTGTTTAAGAGTTGTGTATTTATAGTTTTGATAAAATGTATGTCCCCAGACTAATTTTCCTAGGAAATCATGTCCATGTCATAAATATTCCTAGGAAAAACGTCCATGCCCTTTATTTTAAAAGGTAAATATAAATGTTATGTTTTAATATTGTTTAAGATTTGTGTATCAATTTTTTTAATAGAATTTATGTCCCCAGACTAATTTTCCTAGGAAATCTTGTCCAAGTCATGAATATGCCGAGTTAAAAACATTTATGTCTTTTATTTCAAAGGAAAATTCTAATGAAACAAATTATTTATATGTAAACAATGGAAATTCAATTTTTATGTTTTAATATTGTTAAAGAGTTGTGCATAAATATCTTAATAAAATTCATGTCCCCAGACTAATTTTCCTAGGAAATCATGTCCATGTCATTAATATTCCTAGGTAAAAACGTCCATGTAGGGAACAAAATAAAACTTTCCCATCTTAACTAAGAAAATATTTTTTTTTTTTTTTTTTCATTAATTTCTATAATATAATAAAAATTACTAGAAAAACAAGTCGTAGGACAATTTTTCCTAGGAAAATAAGTGCCAGACATGTTTTACTAGCTATGGACTTATTTTCCTAGGAAAATTTGTCCTGGGACATACATTCCTAGTAAAATAATGGTCATGGACTTGATTAACTAGGAAAATAAGTCTGGCGGACAAATTTTACTACTGGACCAAATTTACTGTTCACTTCCAAAACATGTTGAGCGAACGGGTGAAAAATGTTTGATCTAAGGGAGCTACTATTTGATTTTTATGGGGGGGAGGCTAGGATGAAATTTAAAAAAAAAGGCAGGACAGGAGTTTTGAGTGAAAAAAAAGGCAGGATGTCCGATGAGCAACCTGGCAAAAAAAAAAGGCAGGATGACAATTTATGTAAAAAAAGTCAGGATAAACTATAAATAAAAAAAAAGACAGGACCGAATAGAGAGAAAAATAAAAATGCAGGACAGAGATTACAACTAAAAAAAAATGCAGGACAAAAATTTTCATCCTAGCCTTAAACCTAAACCTTAACCTACAGTCGCTTGAATTTTTTGTGATCCAAATATTAAAAAAAAAAGTCCAAGTGGTATATATAATTATATAATATAGGGGATATATACCACTATTTTTTTTGTCACAGCATTTTGTTTTGTTCAGACCGAAGTCGGAAGAGAAGAAATTTACCTACTGTTTTTTAACTATTATAATACTTGTATACAAATGTACTACTACAAATGTTATTTGGGCGTTCCATAGATAAATGTCCTCTACACTGTTTTCTGTAAACAATGGTAAATGTGGGCGTAACTAAATGTTCTAGTATCAAACCCATTACAAATAACAATAAACACAACATCCGTATAGATGCGAGAATAAGTCTTCTCCCGCTGTCCTGAGACTGCTATTAACAGATTTACTATCTTTGATCATTTAAATATTTTTTTGAAGTCTTCCCTCCAAGTCTCGAGCGAGAAAAATAAAGAATAAATCCAGTGTGATAGAATTTTCCTTTGCTGATTAACGAAAGAATAAGAAGAAGAAGAATGTCCAGTATAATTCGAATCGTAAAAGCTATCATTAGTTGTAATTAAATATAAATATCACCTCACACAGTTCTTTGTTTGTAAAATTTGTTGTCCCGTCTTCATTAAACCAAATCAAAGGGCGACAATCGACAACTATTTCTACTTAAGGAGCGCAAATCCGTCATGATGCAGATTCACTCGTTCTAAACTGGGACATAATATGTTTAATAGTATAATAGTCCCAGTTCTAAATAAAAATAAATGTTCAAATTTGTTTATTCTTCATGTACCTTTATCTGCAAAACATATCCTTTACTCATATGTGCTTTCTTCTTCTCTATGTACAAAAAAATGTATTAGCTTCCTTTATAATTAAGGAACACCAAGGATAAAATCCAAGTAAAAGTAGTATTTACACGGTAAAATATAATATATACTTTAAAAGTTAATGTCCAAGGGTAATATACACAGTAAAACTCTTCTATTTACACATAAAATCCAACTGTCATTTATGAATAATAAAACACAAATTATACGGACTAAAAACTGTTTATTTCAGACCGTCAACCATCCATTGCCTCAAGCAACTTTAAGCGTTTTATATATAGTTTATAGCACATCTCCCTAGTTTTGGCTTCTATCGTGTTCATTATATTTTTATTTGTTAATATTTGTGAAAAATGACTGCAGTCTATAATTAGCCTGATAATGTTTGGTTTGTATTGAAAGCCACTGTGCCAGACTTCTTCTGTTGTATGTTGAGTAACACAGTCCTTGATCGGTTCAAAATACGTATTTCTAGTTTCTAGATAACAGAGGACAATCCAGGAGAAAATGAGAAATGTTTTCCTAAAAAAGGTTACATAATTGACAAATTTTTGGAGAAGGTGATTAATTAAATTTTGCTCTATCTGAATTTAGTATAAATATTCCTGAAACTATTCTAGTTTTAATAATGGCTTTTCGAACTTCAGCTTTTGTTTTGTCAAAGATATTCCAAACTGGATGATTTTTGCCAAAAAAGTAGATGTTTAGTTTTCATATATCTTAGAGTTGATTTAGATTCAGCATCGTCCTTTAAAGTATTTAGCCAGTAGGTGTTCAATTGCTTCGTTACCAACGATTTCC